ATAAATTTTGGATATTTCTTCATCTATGAACTCTGGACTACAAATACGTAAAGCTCTCAAAAACATTGATGAGAAAACAGACAGTTTAACTTTATCTTGATGGGAAGAATAATAGTGTACATAGGAACAGTTATTTGTAGGTTTTCTGTAAATTTTAAATTTGAATTCATTATTACTTTTAACCCTTTTGAGGGTCGACAGGCCCTCTCCGAAACTCGTTCTCAGGGTCGGCCAAATTTAAAAAAAAAAAAAATTATTTTCTCTTATGAAAAGATAGAGAATCTTTTCCCGATCATAACGACACCAAAAGTTTGAAATTTGATAGAAAACTTACGGAATTATGCTCTCGCAAAGTTAGCGGTCTCGGCGATGTTTACGGATCGGCGATTTTGCCCACTTTGAGCCCCATTTTCGGCCAATTTCACTGTACTAGTCGACAAAAAACATGAATATTTCGCTAGAACTCCATTTTTTCTATCGAATGGGTGCAAGAAACCACCCATTTATAAATTCAACTATCCAGTACAGTGGTCAGAATTTAGCAATTTTGCCAATTTCACACAAATTTCAAAAGATGCCAATTTCGGAATAGGGTCCAGAATAAACAAGAAAGACATTCCTGGCACTAAAATGACATTTCCTCTAGTCATTAGTCACGTCTCAAGGCCCCTCTTATATTCTTTTGCTTTCCACTTTGAATTTTTATTCTCACAAAAAATATAAGATTTACTGTTATGCAGACTACTGCATTAGTGTAAAAAATGGTATAAATATTATTGGTGCACTTGTGAAAGAATATTAGACTCACCAGTTGACGTGTATTGCACGCTTGGCACGATTTGTTTACTTTTGAAGTTTGGTAAAAATCGAACATTTCTGCTACTTTGAGCCCAATTTCAAGGCACCTTTCATTGTAAAACCAGTCAAAATCATCTCAATTTCAGTAATATGTCTTCCATTCTATAAAATGAGACCAAGAAAACTAGAATACAACAATAAATACTATACGAAAATACACTGCAAAGTCGCTGATTTATTAAAAAAAAATGGAAAAAGTTTTTTTTTTCTCATTATGCACCGTGTGCTGCAGGATTTTTTTTAGACTGTGCACACTGACCACATAGACCCATTCTTTCATATGAAGGCCTACCAGCTTTCTCCCACTAGATTTGAGGTCGCTAGAATTTATGAGTACTAGTACGTCAAAAACCCCTACGCGTAAGACGTACTAGTACGACGAAAACCCTCAAAGGGTTAATAATTAAAACATCTAGAAAAGGCAATGAGTTATTTTCCTCAAACTGTTGAGTTTAAGATCTGCGTTCACATGTGTAGTGCCACAAAAGTAGATCTACGTTTTTTTTTTACATATTTTCAAATATAACAAAAAAAAAAGTAGATCAAAGTTTTTTTTACACATTTTCCAATGTAAAAAAACAAAAAGATCTACTTTTTTTACATACTTTCAAATGTTGAAAAAACGTATATATATGTTTGGACCGTTTATGGGTTAATATTAAAGTTGTATTTAAAAATCTTGATACAGTAAAAAAACTTTTGATAAAGAATTCCCCCCAAAATGCTGACAGATGTGTCTATAAGATTCCTTATAAAATTTGCGATAAAGTTTATTATGGTCAAACTGGTAAAAATCTCGAACTTAGATTAAAACAACATAAATATAGCATTAGAACTGGACAAGATTCCAATACTCTTTATTCATGTGAGAGATTTTAACCATCTAATTGATTTTCAAAAAGTTGAGAAAGTTGTATCAAGCAAGTCCATGGTTGACAGAAATATAATTGAATCTTGTTTCATAAAAAGCAGTTTTGAAAGTAATATGAATATTTCCTTAGGTTTATATAAATTAGACTCATTTATAATTAATAAAATTTGGTTAGAGTTTAATAATACATTGGACAAATAATAAACCTTATTTCTTGGGTAGAATATTTTGTTAGTGGGATGTCGTGAGGACCTGTCTAGTTGGACCAGCGGACCTACTGCAGTGTTCCTCTTTTCTTATGAGTCCTGTATTGTTGCGCGTCAGGTGTTTCTTTGTTGTGGAGGTTGACTGCGAGGTGTGGTCTAAGCCCTTTAATTGCCTTTCTTTGATGTATTACTTTCCTAGTTCCTTGACAATGCGAGTAGTCATGAAGTAGTAGTCACTACTCTTTCACAGTGGTTGTTTTGCATGCTTGTACATGTATGTGTAGTGAGACCTAAGTGTAAGTAGAAGTAGCAAGACGTACCTGAAATCTTGCATGTGTAGGAGACGGAAAAAAAAGACACCAGCAATCCTACCATCATGTAAAACAATTACAGGCTTCAGTTTTACACTCACTTGGCAGGACGGTAGTACCTCCCTGGGCGGTTGCTGTCTACCACCCTACTACCTAGGTTTCATACATTTATTAAACAAAAATACCAACCACTCTAACACTGTATCCCCTCCCCCCCCACTTTTAGCATTTCTGTCATGATCCTGTCAGTTCCAGCTGCTTTACCCCCTTTCATTCTACGTAATGCCTCACACGCCTCCCCATATTCACAACCTGCTCTTTTTCACTCCTAAAAGATGGTATACCTCCCTGGCCAGTGCATAAAATTACCGCCTTCCTTTCTTCCTTGACATTTAAAAGTTCTTGAAAATATTCCCGCCATGTACCCAATACCTCCATCTCCCCATCTACTAGCTCCCATACTCTTTTTTTAACTGACAAATCCATTCGTTCCCTAGGCTTTCTTAACTTGTTTATCTCACTCCAAATTTTTTTCTTATTTTCATCAAAATTTCTTGACAGTGCTTCTCCCTCTTATCATCTGCTCTCCTTTTACACTCTTTTCATGTTTCTTTTACTGTCCATATACTCTGCTCTTCTTATAACACTTCTGCTTTGTAAAAACCTCTCATAAGCTACCTTTTTCTCTTTTATCACATTCTTTACTTCATTCCACCAATCATTCCTCTTTCCTCCTACACCCACCCTCCTATAGCCACAAACTTTTGCCTCACATTCTAATACTGCATTTTGAAAACTATTCCAACCCTCTTCAACCCCTCCACTACTCATACTTGCACTAGCCCACCTTTCTGCCAATAGTTGCTTATATCTCACCTGAACTTCTTTTTTCCTTACTTTATACACTTTCACCTCCCTCTTACTTGTTGTTGCCATTTGTTCCATCTGCTTCTTACTCTAACTGTAGCTACAACTAAATAATGATCCGATATATCAGTTGCCCCTCTATAAACATGTACATCCTGGAGCCTACCCATCAACCTTTTATCCACCAATATATAATCTAACAAACTACTTTCATTATGTGCTACATCATACCTTGTATATTTATTTATCCTCTTTTTCATAAAATATGTATTACTTATTACCAAACCTCTTCCTACACATAGCTCAATTAACCTGTAAACGGTCCAAGCAGATCTACATTCATATGTTTAGTGCTCCAGAGTAGATCTACGTTTTTTTTTACATATTTTCAAATATAACAAAGAAAAAAAGTAGATCAACGTTTTTTTTACATGTTTTCAAATGTAAAAAAAAATCTATTTTTTACATACTTTCAAATGTTGAAAAAAACGTATACGTATATACGTTTGGACCGTTTACGGATTAAAGGCTCCCCATTTTCATTTACCCCTGGCACCCCAAATTTACCTACTACTCGCTCCACACCATTTTTACCCACTTTAGCACTGAAATCCCTAACCACAAGACTCTCACACTTGGTTCAAAACTCCCTACACACTCACTGAGCATTTCACAAAATCTCTCTCTCTCCTCTACACTTTTCTCTTCTCCAGGTGCATACACACTTACTATAACCCACTTTTCACATCCAACCTTTATTTTACACCACATAATGCTTGAATTTATACATTTATACTCCCTCTTTCCCTGCCATAGTTTATCCTTCAACATTATTGCTACTCCTTCTTTAGCTCTAACTCGATTTGAAACCCCTGACCTTTTACATATTTTCAAATATAACAAAAAAACAAAATTAGATCAAAGTTTTTTTACACGTTTTCAAATGTAAAAAAAAAAAAGAAAAAAAGATATACTTTTTTTACATACTTTCACATGTTGAAAAAAACGTATATGTATGTTTGGACCATTTACGGGTTAAAGCCAGGACATCTAGCTTCTTCTCATTCATAACATCCACAATCATCTTTTTCTTATCATTCACACAACATCCACGCACATTCAGACTTCCCACTTTGACAATTTTCCTTACGGAGGAAAGATTCTTATTCCACTTTTATATTCGTACATATAAGCCATCATGGGGCCAACCAAAAAGAAAATTGATTCAGAAGAATTTGTTCAATACTCGAACGGATTGGCATTCAAATGAATTAAGTTGAAGTACTGAGGTTCCCCTGTACAGCACTTTGTCTGGCTTTTTTTGGGTTATCCTAGGTCACTTACAGCATGTATAATAACTGTACTTGTGTGTAACTGTGCCTAATTGAACTTATGTAAATGCCGCTGGCTCTTTTACGCTGCTGTTGTCAGTGATTTTTTTCACCAACTTCAACAAACCATAAAATCATGAATTTTGATTAGATTCCACTCATTTTAGTCTTAGTCAGTCCAGAAAAAACGAATTGTATCAAACTGTGAGCATTTTTTTTTGTTTTTTGTTTTTTTTTGTTTCTGACTTTGAGAATTTTTTCAGGGTATCCCATAGTTTTTGGGTTAATTACCTCACTGTTAACCTTTAAACTTTTGTCTTGACTTTGCCTTTACTCGATATATTTTTCAATAATGTTGTTTAGACTATTTATTTCCAGAAACCCTCAGTAACACTAGTAATAAACTCCTTGATCATTTTTTTATTTTCATTCATTTCTGCTTACATTTTCTATGTTCATGTCTAGCTGTTTTCCTAAGTGCTGGATTAACCAGGCTGTGATGGGTATGTATTCCAGTGGGCTGCCAACAGTAACAGTCTGGTTTATCAGGCAAGCACCAGATAAGCCTGGCCAAGGCCAGGCTTATCTGGTGCCTCATGGTACAGGCCCAGACATCACTCACCTGTCATCATGAACTGTTTATTTTATTTATTTATTTTTTATTCAGCCTGCTCCTTCCTAGAAGATGGGTATCTACATTCCTTCTGCTTGGCACATTGTCCATATTTATACCATTATACATTATGTTTCATTGGGGACTTACATTCCCATTACTTATTTTAGTGTTAATTTTTATTCTGCTGTTCAGTTTATTTTAGTACATTGAAAGGCATATAATCCAGAGTGGTAATGCTAGGTGCCAGTGACCAAATGCAGGTAACATGTCATATTAATCAAATTTATCCTAATGTAACTGTTAATGAAAATAATGTTAAATTTATGTTGTATACAGAGCAGAGACCTCCGTGTGCATGCACCAAAGTTTACAAAACCTAAGGATGAAGGCTGGTTTGTGGTTCTTGGTAATGCAGAATCTGGAGAGCTGCTGGCACTTAAGAGAGTTCCCCCAGTCCGTGGTAGTTCTACATACTTGCTTTCATTCAGGACACCCGACATACCAGGTATAGTTATATTACATTGTAAATTTCTATACAACTGTTTTAGAATAGATGAAGACAAGCAGAGCACAGTACTCTAGAAAATGGCAATCTTTGTATGAAGCCAGCCACATATTTTTTGTCAGCAACATAGAAACTATGTATCTGATATAAGTCTTTCTTAATATTGCTAAACTATTGGCCACTTCTTCCTGTTTTGTTGAAGAGAGTTCATAAGTGTGTCCTATGCAGTAATTAGCTTCTGTATTATAATTGCCATGGTAGATCACAAATAGTATAGGTCATATGGTTTTTAATCTAATTACTACCGAGTAGAATCAGAAGGATTAAGGAATAATAATTTACAGTAAACTAGCACTCATAAATTGTACATAACCAGGTAACTGTCTCATCTCTTCAGAAATTCAGGTTGTTTTTGGCTTAACCCCTTCACTGTCGTAACTCTCAAAATTGAAAGTGCTATAACTGCCAGGAATTAAACAAAAAAAATCTTATGAAATGATGATCTTTTTTCTGAAGGTAACAACACTAAAAATGCAAATTATGCAGGTAAAAAAGTTGGCAATCTAGGTGCAATTTATACACTAGTGATTTTGCCTTCTTTGAGTCTTATTTTAAGTCAGTTTCATTGCTCATACTAGATATTTCTCTATTATGCCTTCCTTTCAACTGTCAAAAGCACCTTACAAGTTGGTAACTTGGCCAATTTTACAGAAATTTAAAAAAATTTCAGTTTCAAATTAGAGCTTAAAATGAAAATTGTAGGTATTCCAGCCACTAAAGCAGCATTTCCTGAATTACACTTTCCCTCTATTTTGAATTCATAATCACACAAAAAAAAAGTTTTACGTTATTTCTCGGATTAATAAAATACAGTAGACCCCCTCCTTACGATCAGCTCCCAACTCAAACATTTATGTAAGTGTATTTTTGTAAATGCTTTTGTACGTGTATTTTTGGGGGTCTGAAACGGACTAATCTAATCTACAACATTCCTTATGGGAACAAATCTGTTCGGTAACGGCACCCAAACAGACTTCTGGAATGAATTAATTTCGTAAGTTGGGGGTCCACTGTATAACCAAGATTGACTGGTCATGGTTGATGGTGTCCCAAGAAGTGAAGCAGACTTTATAAAAACCCATAAAACAGACCTAGAGGTTGTGGGATGGGGTAGTCTTATCCTCAGAGAAAAATCATCAGAAATTGAATACTCCTGCTAATTTGAGCTAGATTTTAAGCTACTTCTGGTGTTGATACAAACCAAAACCATCTCTGTTTTTAGTAGTGTCTTCCATTCTATCAACTGATACCAATAAACAGCCAATAAAATCATAAAAATCATTTTAGAAAACATCTCAGAGGTAAAGGCAGTTAGATGAGGCACTCAGATGTTACCACATGAAGATCATATTTTAATTTTGCCAGTCTTCTATAAAAAATGGCAAATTGGGAGCAACACACACTAAAATAAAGCCAAACTTTTTATTTCAATAAATCAATCAATCAATTAATTTTTATTTTCTTGCAAGATTACGTTGAGATTATGAAATTACAAAAATGAGTTGCAGTGCAAAGAGCCACTATCATGCCAAGGCATTATGGGTAGACTTAATTTAATGGCGTACAGTCTGCATAATACTAAAGAAATTGAACATAGTTTGTTTAAACCCTTTCAGGGTTGGTGCCATACTAGTACACATAAATTCTAGCACCTTCAGATCTAGCGAGAGAAAGCTGGTAGACCTGCATATGAAAGAATGGGTCTATGTGGTCAGTGTACACAGTATAAAAAAAATCCTGCAGCACACAGTGCATAATGAGAAAAAAAACTCCGACCGTGTTTTTGGTTTAAAACAGTGACTTTGCACTGTATTTTCATATGCTATTTATGGTTGTATTCTAGTTTTCCTGGTCTCGTTTTATAGGATGGAAGACATGTTATGGAAATTGAGATAATTTTGATTGGTTTCACAAAGAAAATTACCTTGAAATTGAGCTCAAAGTAGCAGAAATGTTTGATTTTTGCCAAAGTTCAAAAGTAAACAAATCATGCCATGCATCCAATACACGTCAACTGGTGATTCTAATATTCTTTCACAAGCGCACTGATATTATTTATACCTTTCTTTCTACACTAATGCAGTAGTCTGCATAACAGTAAATCTTCTATATTTTTTGGAAAGCAAAAGAAATGTAACAGAGGCCTGGGGACGTGACTAATGAACAGAGAACATGTTGTTTTAGTGCCAGGAATGTCTGTCTTGTTTATTCTGGACCCTATTTGGAAATTGGCATCCTTTGAAATTTGTGTGAAATTGGCAAAATTGCCAATTTCTGACCACTTAATTGGATAGTTGAAATCGGTAAATGGGCGGTTTCTTGTACTCAATCGATAGAAAAAATGGAGTTCTAGTGAAATAGTTATGATTTTTGTCGACCGGTACATTTGAATTGTCCGAAAATAGGGCTCAAAATGGGCGAAATCGTTGATGCGTCAACATTGTCGAGACCACTAACTTTGCGTGAGCATAATTCCATAAATTTTCTTTCAGATTTCATACTTTTGTTGTCATTATCATTGGGAAAAGATTCTCTATAATTACATAAGTTTTTTATTTTTTTTTTTCCCCGAAAATTTTTCGACCCTGAGAACATGTTTAGGAGAGGGCATGCCAACCCTGGAACAGTTAAGTTGTACATTTTGTTTATTTATGGTACACAGTAATTTTACTCAAGTTACAATAGTTTCAATAGTAAGTATTGATAATTATGTTATGGAAATTTAACCCTTTTAGGGTCTGTGCCATAGATCTACGGCTTTACGTTCAGGGTCCAAACCATAGATCTACGCCATAAGCTCAGCTCACTTTGATAAGCTGTGAGCAGTAAATTTTGGCCTAGATATGAGAGAATACATCTATATGGTATGTGTGCACCACATAAAACAAATCCTGCAGCACACAATGCATAATGAGAGAAAAAAAAACTGAGACCGTAATTTTCGATTAAAACAACGACTTTGCAGTGTTTTTTCGTATGTTTTTTATAGTTGTATTTGTAATTTCTTGGTCTCATTGGATAGAATAGAAGATATACTACAGAAATAGAGATGATTTTGATAGGTTTTAGTACTGGAAATGGCTTGAAACTGAGCTCAAAGTAGCAGAAATATTAAATTTTTGCCGGTGTTCAAGAGTAAACAAATGACCTCACAAGTCTAATACATGACAGCTGGTGGGTCTAATATACATTCACAAATGTGGTGATATTATTTATACAATTATTACAGTATTGCATAACAGTAAATCTTCTATTTTTTAGTTTGAATAAAAATTCATTATGTGAATAAAAAATCAAAATAGAATTCATTTGTAAAGCCTGAAAATGTAACTAATGAACAGAGGAAATGTTAGTTTAGTGCCAGGAATGCCTGTTTATTCTGGACCTTATTTTGAAATGGGAATATTTTGAACTTTGCATTAAATTGGCCAAATTACCAATTTCCGGTCACTTTATTTTGTTGTTGAAACAGTTGACTTAGGGATTTCTTGTGCTCAGTCGATAGAATAGAAGTAATACTAGTGAAATAGCTAAGAATTTGGTTGACTGGAATACTGTAATTGGCCTAAAATGGGAGTCAAAGTCGGCAAAATTGCCGATACGTGAATATCACTGACACATCAGAATTCGCTAGCATAATTTCGTCAATTTTCCATCAAATTTTGTACTTTTTGTTTTATTACCTTCAGAAAAAGATTCTCTACCATTAATATCGTTTATTATGTCATATTAGATGAATTATGCTAGATAAATAAGCCGTAAAGCTGATGTTAGTGTCATATTGACATTTTTTGGTAATACTTTTGAGTGTCTGAAATGGAATTCGTCAGATTTGGGTTTGGTCACTCTCTGGAACGGATTAATTACGAAAACTGAGGGTCCACTGTATGTAAAAACTATATATGTATGTTCTCAATGTCACAAACATATGCAACACATTATAAACAGTATATACATACTCTCACTATCTGTAACCCTCCCAGTCATTAAACAATTGATTGTGTCCCCTTTAATTCCTCTCAATTAAACTTGTTAAATCCATATAGCATGAACTAATAAAATATTCAGTTCTCTTATATTCATTGTAAACTTCCAGATTTACACTTTGTTGTTATTGCCTTATTAGTCTTAAGTTAGTCTTAAGTTTGCCCAAAATGCTCTGCATATATAGGGCCTTTCAACATGTACACCCAGATGTCACATTCTTTTGTGTAAACATTGTATCATGCTGAAATAAACTATTATTATTGTTATTATTAAGTACTATACTATACAGTACTATAGCCGGACTTGAGTCCTGGAAATGGGAAGTACAATGCCTGCACTTTAAAGGAGGGGTTTGGGATATTGGCAGTTTGGAGGGACTTCTAAACTGTCATATCTGAGCTCCTCTGCAAAGACAGTGATTATGCATAAGTGATGGTGAAAGTGTTGAATGATGATGAAAGTATTGAATGATGATGAAAACTTTTCTTTCTATTTGGGTTTTTCTTTCTTTTTGGCACACCCTGCCTTGGTGAGAAATGACTCACAAAATCGTAATAACATGATTGCAAACAAACCATACCATGGACGGGGATAGAACCCATGATCAGTGACATAAAACTCCAGACTGACATGCTAGCCAGCTGGTCCAGTGGCTAGCACATATGTCTCGAGTTTTATTTCTCTCTGATTGCGGGTTCTATCCCCGCCTGTGGTATGGTTTATTTTTTTTTTTTTTTTTTTTTTTTGTGGGAAATGGCCGCGTTAAAAAAAAAAATTAACCAAATGTAAGAGGACTTCTTAAATACTTGGAAAATCTCTGAAATTCTGAGATACAAAGTAAAATATCATTAAAAATGAAACCCCACAGATGATGTACCTTCACTCTCAATCACTGAAACTGCTTTTATTTCCTTGTGACTAGCTAGCTAACAATTTCCCAGAAATCTATGTTG